TCATAATGGAGCACATTGGTGGTGGTATTTCTGCACGACACTATATTGAGGATGTCAGGAAGCAGAAGGATTTTCATGTCAGTTTAGTTTCATTCTGGCTTGTCCCACTTTATCCACTATGTTCGCATAAAAATTTCACTTAATTGTTGGCATTCAGTTGAAGGTAATTTGCCTGAGCGGGTATTATGCATATTTTTGATGGGTTATGGAACAGTTGGCGATTCCGTTCGATGCAGCACTAGTTTATTTGAACTAATCCGGAATTATGGGTGATCCTTGAGACGTTTATCATTGAATTGTGTGCCGTGATTGGAACTATGGAATTAACTCAAGAATGTATTTAAAGGAAGTTATCAGCGATTTTGGTCATCGACTAGGCGTCATAATTGCGAAAGTTCATTTGAACGGTTTAATGCACGGTGATTTAACGTCGTCGAATGTGCTTCTGAGAGATTCTGATCCCAAGCGGATTGTTCTGATCGATTTTGGCTTATCTGAGGTATGCATTCGCTCTCGTGGCAGTGTTGATTGATGAGGATTCCCTTCATTTGAGAGTAAATATAGACAATTTTTAACTATTAGTGACCAAACTGAATGAACTTCAAGAAACTATTGTCCTAACCAACAAATTATTACGTTTTCATTTGAAGANNNNTAAAAGTGACAGCAGTTCTTATAGTAATACGTATCCTAGATTTACATGAAAGACCATCGAAAAAAGATTACTGAAACTGATTTTAGGGCAATGCTACAGCTGAAAGCAAAGGTGTCGATCTGTACGTGTTGGAAAGAGCGATTAACAGTACGCATATCGACTCGGAGTTTCTTTTCGATAACATTCTGGAGGGTTATAAGGAGCATAACTTAAAACAATATAATATTGTTTATAAGAAACTTGAAGAAATTCGTTTGAGAGGACGTAAAAGGGATATGGTCGGATGAATAGAATTGATTTGGGGGAATTTGCGATCGGTTTCGATAGTTTGATGTTGTCATCCGTGGAAAAATGCTTTCTGTTGATTTTATAAATGCGGGCAGTTCCATTTATTGATAGTTCCATTTCGTTCAGTTGAATGTGATAATGATGTTAATTATAATAATGATTACTATTATTATTATTACCGTCCCGCCGGCAATGGGAGGGAAATTACCTTCATAACTATCTGATTTAATGTTGATTTTTTTGCCGTCAGTTCTAATGAATAAGT